CCGCCGGAAGTGGGTGGGGCCGGAGAGGCGGGACCGGGCTCTGGTCTCTACTTTTCCCGGGTAGTGCAGGCGCATGGTGGTGAATTTGGGCTGTCTGGAAGGAGGCGCCAGAGCTGAGTCTGGTGCCAAGGATCAGGATAAATGCAGGCTTCCTTAATGTTTGAAAAAGTACCGCTGAGGCGGGACGCACGCTTGAAACCCCAGGACTCAGAGGCTGAGGCGGGGTAATTGCTTCGAGTTCAAGGCTAGTCTGGGCTACATGGTGAATTCAGGCCAGGCTGAACTATATAGTGAGACCCTGTCTCAAAAAAAAAAAAAAAAAAAAAAAAAAAAAACGTGACTTTGTAGCTTTCCTAATACAGCATCGGAGGCTCTCTATGGCAAAATTATTACAAATGCAAGTAACCACACATTTGTCTTTGGCCATAGTTTCTACCCTTACACTTCTTTTTGCAGAAATGCAGTCATAATGCGCATGACCTTTCGTGCGTGATTAGTGGTATTTTGAGATAATTCTGCAAGAAGCACTCATTTACAAAATCATAGTGCTGCCTTTTGCTACCGTGGATGGAACTCAGTCAGGACTTTGCTCTCACAGTGCTGCTTTCGATTTAGCCTTCCCTAGGACGCTTATCCTGGGCCCCCAATAAGCATTAGAAACCCGGGGGGCGGGGAGAAACCCCCCGGGAGCCTCTAACTAGTTCCCAGCCTTGCATATTAAAAACAAAAAGGGCTTCCCAGGTGGCTGAGCTGCAGTCTAGGCTAAGAACCAACGGGGTGGGGCGGGGGGCTTCCTAGAGAAATCTGATTCTAGGAACCTGGCAGACCACTCTATGATGGGACCACATCCCTCCGAGCAGGCCCTAGTATTATAGATAGCTAAGTTTAAAATATTATAGACAGACAGGGCTAGGCCCTCGAAGAGGTCCGTGCAGAAAGTAACACCTACTGTAAGACCTAAAGTCTCACTTCCACTCCATGGAGCGTGAACAGCCAAAAAGGCCTCCACGATGCTGGGCCCTAACACCCAGCGAGGCTCCGGGAGCTCCATGGAGAAACGAGAAACCCAGGAAGGAACACACCAGGCTAGATGGTAAAGAGACCTTTATTAGTCTGGCCAGACGGCACTTCCGGAGCCAGGTGGCTCAGAGAGGCAACTGCTCAGGGGCTGAGGTACTTTTTATAAGGTTTTTCTAAACAGAGTCAGGGAATTCACAGAACAAGACTGCAAACACATTGCTTATCTTATGCAGGAAATGTTCTACGGTCACCTTTTGTCAAACCATTTGCCCCTGGGCGGGCTGTTAACCAAGGTAGCAATTAGCATATGAAGAAGCACAGTCTGGCCTATTAGCATGGAGTCACTTTAGCCTATTCAAGTCTTACACTACAACTGTGGTTAGCCAGGCATGGTGGTACACACCTGTAATCCAAGCACTTGGGAGGCTGAGGCAGGAAGATACCTGTGGGTTCAAAGCCAGCCTGGGCTACATTAAGAATTCAGAGCCAGCCTATACAACAAATGAGACTGTCTCAAAAAACAAACAAACAAAAACAACTGTGGCTAGAGGTGCATTTGTTGAAGGCCAGGCCTCAAGGTAAAGCTGAGACTACACCCACGTACTTCCCCAAGGAATGAACGATTGATATTCTAAATAGGCATCTGTCACCTTGGATGTGGAACCTGCACCTCCTGACCCATCCCTTCCAAGAAAGGTGGTTACTTTTTCCATGTCCACTTACTGCATAAATTGCTTTCCCATTTGATCAATATCACCTAAGCCACTATACTGGTAACTGTTTTTTATCATAGTTTTGTCCCATCTTGTACCTACCACGTGATTTTGTACCCACCTTGTGATTTTGCTCTATGAGGCCTCCCCTGTAAGTGGAGTCAGTAGCAACCCACTTTCTGGGTCCCCTGCTATTCCTTTCAGGCAAGAACTGCCTATCCCTCAATAAATATTTCCCAACTATTAACCTCAGTTCTTCCTGGAATTCATTCTTCCATTTTAGAGAACACAGTGTGGCAGATATTTGGCAGGTTGGGACTTACATCTGTTTCCTCTAAATCATCCCTAGGTCACAGGCCCCCCACAAAGGAACCCAGATAGCCACCCCTCCTGATCAAGCCTGACCATTTCCTGAGAACCAAGTTGTCCCTCTCGCCACAAGGGCTGTTCCAGAGCTATAGAAACCAGAACTGGGCTACTGATGCTCTGGACCTCTGAGCATCTCAGCTAATCCTTGAAAGCTGGCCTTGTGTTTTTGTGGGTGGGCCACTCTGGATGCCTGCACCAGAGTGTACCCCCTCCGGAGACTCAAGGGACCAGTTTTCTGTTCTCCCTTACTGTGTGACTGACTAATACCCTGTGCCTCATGCTGACATGTTGTGAAATCCTTTTCCAGTGACTGGTGAGCAAACCACAAACTCTATCTCCATCTTTACAACTTCCCCTTTTTTTTGGGGGGGGTAGCTCATCTGCATAGGAGGTCCTGAGTTTGATCCCTGCTACCAAAAAAAAAAAAAAAGCCTTCCCCTTTCTAGGTCCTCTAATGCATCACCTGGGAAGGTAAGAAAAAGACTCAACTGCTGAAAAGAAAAAGATTCAACTGATTCATTGCCTTCTTCAAGCAAAGATGGAGTCTTTGTCTATTTTCTACTGCTAAAACTGAATGCTGCACACTGAATAATTTATATATAAGAATAGACATTTAGCTGGGTGTGGTAGTGCATGCCTGTAAATAATCCCAGCACTGGGGAGGCTGAGGCAGGAGGATTGCTGCAAGTTGGAGACAAACCTGGGATACAGTGTGTTGAAGGCCAGCCTGGACCACAGAGCAAGATCCTGCTTCAAAAACAAAACAAATAAAAAGAATAGAAGTTTATCTTTCCCCTGGTTCTGATGGTTGGGAAGCCCCAAAGCATCTTCCTGGTCTCTAGTGAGGGCCTTCCTGCTTCATTGTAAAATGGCAGACAGACAGCAGGTGTACTATCTGAGGTCTCACTTCCTCTTCCTATAAAACCTGCCATCATAAGAGCCCACCCTATGACCTCTCGTCCTAAGATTCTACTTTCCGGCTGCCATTAATGTATGGCTTTGGGGATTAAATTTCCAACACATGGCTTTTGGGGGACCTATTATGGCCACATCAGAGAGTGTCTACTCCACTGGTCAAGCTTTCCAGCCTTGAGCTTCCCAACTTCCTCGGGTTTGGCCCTTGACTATAGTTGCTTCTGAGGTTGGCGAGTTTTTCCAGCTGGCTCAAGGTACTGACACTGAAGATTAGAATTCATTGTGGCATCCCGGGCAGAGGGCATCGGATGGCACAGGGTATATATGCATCAGACAGTAACTGTAGAGGCACAGTGACGCTCAACAACTAGGCCACACACCAAGAGGTCCAACAGGAGATTTTATTAGGGAAGGCAGGTTAGGGAGAGAGGAGAGAGGGAAGAAGAGAGAGGGGAGGAGAGAAAAGGAGAGAGAGGAACAAAGAAAGGAAGGTCCTTTTATTAGTTTTGGGCTGGGCTATTGCTTACTTATGAGGAGTGGGCTACCTTTAACCTATCACAGGCCAGGTTCCCCTTTATGGGTTCGGTCCTGCAGAAACAGGTTTAACCTTTCTGAACCGCTGTGACCTTGGAGGGAGGGAAACCAAAGATAAGAGCATGAGGTCATTTTAAGAGGCAAGAAGAACCAGGAGAATACAGCCTGTGATCGCAGTGTCAGGTCCCTAACAATAACTCTGGCCACAAGTTTTCAACGATACTACGAGAAGAAATGTCATTTTTCAGAGATCTTTGTACTATGAGGATAAGGGGTCTTCAGGACCTCCCGTCTAGTCATTCAGGCCAAGTGAGTTTCTGATAGGACCACCCTCCCAAATGCCTTGTTTGCATGGGGGAGAAGCAATCTAGGAGCAGGAGACGGGAAAGACCCACCATTGTCCTTGTGGCCGCTGTGAGTCTGCTCCCCAGCCAGCTCTGAGTCTGCAGGGTGTACTTCTTATCCTCCTTTAATAAATATAAATCCTGGACACCTCTTCTGCACGTCTTGTCCAATTCTTTCTTTGAGGCATTCAGAACCCAGAAATATTAACAGCAG